CCTGCTCTTTTCCCAGGCAATCTACTTACAGTCACAGATGCTTAATACAGTAGCCATCTCAGTCAACAGTTTTCTAGTAAGAAAGTGGCTTGTTGGTACACAGTTGGGAAATATGCAGTTCGAAAGGAATACACTTTTTTAGGCCAGGCTTGGTGGCTTATGCCTGTAATCCCAGCCCTTTGGGAGGCCAAGGCAGTTGAATCACTTGAGCTCAGCATTCGTGACCAGCCTGGGTAACACAGCAAAACCCCGCCTCTTTTTTTGTTTGTTTTTAAATTTAATTTTTAAAACTATATTAAAAGAAATAAAGTTTTTTAACCTAAATTTTGTGTTGAGCCCAGACATAATGAGCAGGGCCAGGATTTGCACAGGAGGGAGCAGAGTTTAGAACAAAGTTGTTGAAAAGTATTCAGAAGTAGTATTAATAATATGTCGTAGATTGCATATAACTAGGGGGAGACAGTAAGGTTGACAAGAGATTGCCCAGCAAACAACAGTTGCAGTTCTTTTCCTCTTCAACTTCTGTCTCTGTTATTAGCTCTGTGGCCTAGCAAGAGTTGAGACAATATTTTGTTATCTTAAATAAAGGTAGGACAAAGTTATGCCTTGAATTTCTTTTGAGTCCTTTATAATACATTGATGAGCATAGACTAGGCATATAGTAAATGCTAAGTTGATTGAGAGGAGAATTTAGCATTTGCATTTAAGAGAAGTGGCCAGGTGCGGTGGCTCACGCCTGTAATCCCAGCACTTTGGGAGGCCAAGGTGGATGGGTTGCCTGAGCTCAGGAGTTCGAGACCAGCCAGGGCAACACGGTTAAACCCCGTCTCTACTAAAATACAAAAAATTAGTCTGGCCTACCAGCATGTGCCTGTAGTCCTCGCTACTCGGGAGGCTGAGGCAGGAGATTTGCTTGAACCCGGGAGGCAGAGGTTTCAGTGAGCAGAGATCACGCCAACTGCACTCCAACCTTGGCAATAGAGCAAGACTCTATGTCTCAAAGAAAAAGAGAAGCTAATTTTTAGAAGTACTTTACTGTCTGTAAGTTGATAATAGTAAGTTTGTAAGAAGCTTTGGTTTTAGTTTGAAATTTATTGTGTCAATATAATTTTCAAATTAGGTAATATAAACATCCACAAGTATTAATTTGTTTATATAATAAATGTCATCTCTTTCAGCAATTTTGCCTGCAGAAAAAAATGTTTCAAAAGTTAGTGGTTGAGAACAGATCATCTCTGGAGGGTAGCATTTAAGAGGTTTTTACTTTCTAGATGACGTATTTCTTTTTAGGGTACAGTTTTTAAAAAGTACATTACTTGCTATAACAAGATATCTTAGAAAAATAATAAAATAAAAATATTTTAATAAATAAAAATACATTGCTTTCTTCAGAAACACATTTAAATTGGTGTTAGAGAGAGATTTTTTAAATAACTGTGCTTGGCTAAGATTTGCTAAAGTTCCTTTGTGTTTGTACAGGGAAAACTTGAAAGCAGTGACAACTGAAGATAGAGAAATGAGAAAAAAGAAGGAAGACTATCTAACTTTCAGTCCTCTTACAGTTGTCATATTTGTGGTCATCTGCTGTGTTATGATGGTCTTACTTTATTTCTTCTACAAATGGTTGGGTAAGAAGTCATATTTTATGTTCGTTACTGTTAACATGCATTCTTTTCACTGACTATTACTAGATTTATCTTTTCCTTTAAGCCATTCTACCTGGAAAACTTATGTGAATAATTTGGTTAATAATAATTTTTTAAGTTGTCTCACTGACTAATACTAGATTTATCTTTTCCTTTAAGCCATTCTACCTGGAAAACTTATCTGAATAATTTGGTTAATATTATTATTTTTTTAATTATCAGTGTTAGGTCTCTGTTACTCTGAGATATAAATATTCAGATTAAAAATACACTATGTGCCAGGAGCAGTGGCTCACGCCTGTAATCCCAACACTTTGGGAGGCCAAGGTGGGTGAATCACCTGAGGTTGGGAGTTTTAGACCAGCCTGACCAACATGGAGAAACCTTGTCACTTCTAAAAATACAGAAATTAGCCGGGCATAGTGTTGCATGCCTATAATCCCAGCTACTCGTGAGGCTGAGGCAGGAGACTCGTTTGAACCTGGGAGGCGGAGGTTGCGGTGAGCCGACATTGCGCCATTGCACTCCAGCCTGGGCAACAAGAGCGAAACTCCATTTCAAAAAAAAAAAAGTACGTTATGTTTTCAGATAAGAACACTTCTTCATGGATGAGTTGAAATAATTGCCATGGTCCCTAAGTTTTCCTCTCTGTAGATGAAGAATGATATAGCTCAGTATCTAAGCAGTGGATTAAGGAGTTCTTGGTGGCTATATTTAGTTACATGAAATAGAAGATTATTCAAATTACTGATGTATTGCCTCTACTTACTCCCAAAGTGTAGTTTATCTTTTGTCAATTTGCAAATGAAAATGTTTTATTGCTTGAATTTTATGTTACTTATATAAACAGGATCATATTATATCTGAAGACACACAGGTACTTCCTGTGGTCTAGAGAGTGACTAGTCCTTTTTTTCCTTGAAGACAGTGGGAATAGGAACTATAATGGCTTGTCCATCTCCTGAACAGTCTTATTAATGGCTTAACAGAATGAAAATTTGCCATCCCTGGACAGTATGCAGCACAAAGAGAAGGGAGACTAGGGAAAAAGGAGTGTACCTGATAAGAACTAGCAAAAAGCCCTTGTGAGAACCACCAAAGGCTACTATGTATAGCATTAGCATAAATTTCTGGACTAGAACCACCAAAGGCTACTATGCTTATGTGTATAGCATTAGCGTAAATTTCTGGACTAGAAAACTAGGGCCTAGGATTGTTTCATTCAGCTTTTTTTTTTTTTTTTTGAAACAGAGTCTTGCTCTGTCACCCAGGCTGGAGTGCAGTGGCGCAATCTCGGCTTACTGCA